AGTCCCAGTCACTCACCCAGTCACCCAGTCAGTCCCAGTCACTCATCCAGTCAGTCCCAGTCAGTCCCAGTCACTCACCCAGTCACCCAGTCAGTCCCAGTCACTCATCCAGTCAGTCCCAGTCAGTCCCAGTCACTCACCCAGTCACCCAGTCAGTCCCAGTCACTCATCCAGTCAGTCCCAGTCAGTCCCAGTCACTCACCCAGTCACCCAGTCAGTCCCAGTCACTCATCCAGTCAGTCCCAGTCAGTCCCAGTCACTCACCCAGTCACCCAGTCAGTCCCAGTCACTCATCCAGTCAGTCCCAGTCAGTCCCAGTCACTCACCCAGTCACCCAGTCAGTCCCAGTCACTCATCCAGTCAGTCCCAGTCAGTCCCAGTCACTCACCCAGTCACCCAGTGACTCACCCAGTCACCCAGTCAGTCCCAGTCAGGTTTCTTTAGCAGCTGAAGGTTCTGGACTCTTGTTGACCAACATGTTTTATGAGGACTGTAGTCCACAGCTGCTTGTTTTAATAACAGACTCATTCATACAGGAAGTCACTGCGCATGCGCACAGAAGCCTGACCGTAAAGGATGTAATAAACGGGCACTGTCTGTGAAAGTGGGACACATCGGAGTCTCTGGTCTCAGTACTGACCTGGTCCAGGTTCAGGAACTGGTAGAAGGTCTGGGGGATCTCCTCCACCAGGTCCAGCAGCTCCAAATCCGCGTCCCAGGCGGTCAGAGAGGGGACCACAAAGACCAGCAGAGACACGCAGACAAACACAGAGGACCCGCAGAGTCCCGTAGCCGGGACCCGCATCTCAGAGACACTGAGGGACACAGGACCAGGACCAGGACCAGGACACACGAGGGACACGTAGCGAGAAAAATTAAAAAAAAAACTGAAGCAGGTTCCGACCGGAAATGCTTCTTCTTCTTCTGTTTTAATGTCGGCTGCTCCGAGGGTGGCTCCATACCGCCCCCTGCTGATAGACCCGGTCCTAAACCCGGTCCTGACCCGGTTTAAACCCGGTCCTAAACCCAGTCCTGACCCGGTTTAAACCCGGTCCTAAACCCAGTCCTGACCCGGTTTAAACCCNATCCCATTCTTTAAGCGGGTCAATGCAATCAACTGTGATGGTCATTTTGCTTCAAGTTCTCACCTTTTTCTTTTATGAGCCAGGCAAACAAATAAAGAAGAAGTTTGGTTGTTTTGTTAGGAATTTATTTTGTTCTGGCCATGTCCTGGCTGACAGAGAATCTGCACAGCATCACAGACTCTTGATATAAAATCAGTTTCTGCTGCTATAGACTTAGACTGCTGGAGCACAAACTGAGCACATTTCCTCACTCTGCTGTTGTCTTTAGTCTCTCTTCTCTACATGTTTATTCTTATTATTTCTATCTTTGTTTCTCTTCCAGAGGACAATAGACCTGGACCAGTCCTGGACCAGTCCTTCTGTGTCTCTTTCCTGTCCCCAAACCCAGCCGGTCCTGGTTCTGGTTCTGGTTCTGTTGGATGTTTCTTCCTGTTGAAGGCAGTTTTTCCTGTGTGCTGCTCAGGATGCAGACTGTGATGAAGTGAACATTGAACACAATCTGCTGCTTCTTTAGATCTAGTTTTTTCTGTTTGTTTTGTTATTGTTTGTGTTGTTGTTTTTGTTGTTGTTGTGTACAGTACCCTGAGACAACTGTTGTGATTTGGCGCTCTATAAACTGAATTCAGCTCTGCACATGTTGATCAGTAATATGTAAAGGAAATGTGAACAGTTGGCCCCAGCTGACAGCAGCTGTTTTCTCCTGATAACAACATAACAACTCGTTATCACAAGATAACAAGTTCAGGTTTTTCTTGTTTATCATTCAGTAACCATGGAGACAGACAGATGACCTCAGCTGGACAGTGATAAAGTTTATTTTATTTATTATATCATGAAGTTTAAGATGAGTGTAAACACCTGCTGAGACCAGATGTTTGCTTTAATGATGAAAGTTACCTGTACAAACTGAGCCTGATGATACACAAACTACACAAACTACACAAACATTATGAACTATTAATAGGCTGACTTCAGACCATAGACAGATGGATGGATGTATGGATGATGGATGGATGGATGGATGATGGATGGATGGATGGATGATGGATGGATGATGGATGGATGATGGATGGATGGATGATTGATGGATGGATGATGGATGGATGGATGATGGATGGATGGATGATGGATGGATGATTGATGGATGGATGATGGATGGATGATTGTTGGATGGATGATGGATGGATGGATGATTGATGGACAGATGATTGATGGATGGATGGATGATGGATGGATGATGGATGGATGATTGATGGATGGAAGCTTCATGGATGGATGGATGATGGATGGATGGATGATGGATGAAGGATGAATGGATGATGGCTGATGGATGGATGACGGATGGATGGATGATGGATGGATGGATGGGTGGATGGATTATGGATGGATGATGGATGGATGGATGATGGATGGGTGGATGGATGGAAGGATGATGGCTGATGGATGGATGATGGATGGATGATGGATGGATGGATGATGGATGGATGGGTGGATGGATGATGGATGGATGGGTGGATGGATGATGGATGGATGATGGATGGATGGGTGGATGGATGATGGATGGACGGACGATTGATGGATGATTGATGGATGGATGATGGATGGATGATGGATGGATGATGATGGATGGATGATGGATGGATGATTGATGGATGGATGATGGATGGATGGATGATGGATGATTGATGGATGGGTGATGGATGGATGATGGATGGATGATGGATGATTGATGGATGGATGATTGATGGATGGATGATTGATGGATGGTGGATGGATGGATGATTGATGGATGGATGCTTCATGAATGGATGGATGATGGATGGATGGATGATGGATGGATGATGGATGGATGGATGATGGATGGATGATGGATGGATGATGGATGATGGATGGATGATGGATGGATGATGGATGGATGATGGATGGATGATTGATGGATGGATGATGGATGGATGGATGATGGATG